CTGCTGGAAGAACTGGTCCTGGCGGTTCGGAGCTGGGGATTGGAACACTCGGATAAGGGGGGTAGCGGTGCGCGTCGACAACAGTGGAGACACCATTGCGTGGTTCAAGCGTGCTCTGGGCCATAGCGAGAGAACGGAGCAGAGCTTCGCACAGCGCTCAGATAATCCCGAGCATTTTAGCTCCACAGGAGTTGTGCTCAGTGAATATGCTACTTGCTTGCTGACGGCTAAAAACCTGTGCCGACTTAACACGCGCCCGGATGGCCGGCTGGACGCCCTTCGCTCGGGTGGGGGTCATTTTGAACCCCCTAAGATCTCAAGAACTCACGAAGCTAGAGACAACACCAAATTACACAGGGTGTGTTGAACTGCACGTGAGCTTATTTGAGTCAAAGTTTAAGATCCCTAGGTCATGACCTTTGGGTCAAAAAAGGTCAAACAAGGTCAAGTTCCAGGTTGGTCTTCAAATTGCCCCCAGAACCAGGTAAACCGTTTGCTAATCAAACGATCACGTGCTTCATTTAAGGTCAGTGACCTTGTTGGCCTTTGAAGGTCATGGTGACCAATATAATACAAGATTGCTTTGAGTTTTGCATTTGACTAAGCGGTAATGATTACGCTAGGCAGTATGTTCCTAAACAAAATGTTGACCCGGGTCATTTTAGGTTGAACGACCTATTCTAACCCCAAGAAGTCCCATGCATGATGCATAATGCGGTTCCTGCTATCAATTAATTCGAAATAAGCACCAGAAACTATCCCATACAGCAGTAACAAAGCCCTAGAGTAGCAAAACAGGTTGGTTTTGACCTTGGCATGACCTTCGTGCCTCACCTTAGATCAAGTAATATGCTCATTCAACTGTTGTATTGCCTAGGAAAGCATCTCAGAGATGTATGGCTTCGTCTAACACGCCGTTGTTGGATCAGTTGAAGGATTCCCTAGAAATTGCTTCGCTGAAACCATGGCCTGACTTTGACCTACCATAGGTCAGCGACCTTAGCAAGTTATATCTCAATTTGTGTATTCAACGATCCGCTGTTGTAACCGGTCCTATCAGAATGGTAAAATTTGGAAAATTTGGGCGGGGCTGCGCCGGCGCCCGTTCGGAGACCATTTTGGAAAAACCTTCGGGGGTTAATTTGATCGCCCCCCCCCCCACCCGAGCGGCGGTGTTAAGTTGTCCGTAAGATGTTGGACCAACAGGTAATTCCCGCATTTGGATGCAACGATGAATAAACGCAATTATGTTTGCCTTTTCGTGATTTGTGCAGCGGATATGGTTTGAAGTCAGAGTACGCGTATAGCATTTAAGAGAATGTGCAGCCATTTGGGAGATTGAAGCAAGCATCAGATATGATGAAATAAGCTCACCTCTAACTATTGGTATGCTTTACGGAGAAGGTTGCGCTACTCAACACAATATATCTTATTGTTAAATATGCGCTTATGATACGTCACTGTTTGATTGCGGTCCCGTACCTATGCACAAATGATTGAGAGACTTGAGCCACCAATTGAGAGATTGAAAGACAGTGACTGACATGATTGACAGAATTTGAGTAACTTTACAGTGGTATCATGGATGGCCTGGGGTGACTTTTAAAATAGTTCCTCCCCCCGAAATAGTCTGCACACCTTCGTGGAACGGATAGATGAGAAACCAGAGGGATTTAGGTCCTCAAGAGGACGGGGCTATGAACCTGCGTCGAATGATATTCAAGATGACTATCTGAGTTCAAAATATCATGTAAATGGGGAGCACTTCCTTCAAGCAGTTGTTCATATTGCATCATGTGTTCACGTGAAAACTTCGACGAGATGTTATGAGGTTACCTTTCCTCGACACCATTACTTCGACACACTCAACACCAACAGCCAACAGTTTTCTTGTTCACGGATCGCGTCGATTCCATTGGAAGATAATCCCACTCGACATTGCGAGTGTAAGGGTCATGAACGCAACATAATCAAGGCAATCTTGCAGACATTGTATATGTGTTCCGGACGGTATGAACAGCGCCTCAACGCTAGCACCGGACGGGCTCAGTTGCAGCTTCACACTAACGGAAGAGCAGACTCGGCCCCCTGCAACGTCAAGCCCGAATGGACTTGATGAAACTAGAAAACAGAGCCGTCGAGTAGGCCTGTCGACGTTAAACAGCATTTTAAAACGTCATTTTAACTCCGGAGCGGGGGCAAAGTCCGTTGTGCAATTTACCATTTTATATTGCATTTAACTTCTCAAGATATTGACCAAACTGCCGAACATTCCGCGACTGTTTTCGCAAATTCTTCGATGAAAAAGCACTCAAGCCGGCGGCTAACCATGAGCCATATTATTAGTTAATTTACCCCAGACCACTATTCCCGTCCAGCGATACCTAGCGGTGAGTGACAATGTTCGGGACATGAGGGCGTTTTATCGATAGATTATGCTCCTTGAGTCTAAGGAAAACCGGAAAAGAAATAAACTGTCTGCGACCTGTAGTGAGATTTAAGCACTCACATTACGCATGCGGACTAAAAGTGGCAGTGCTAGATCTGAAGCAGATAAAGTCGACGGCACACATAGATCATCGCTCCAACTTCAGAACCTGTCCTGAAATATTTGGGGAAATTTTTTTGAACAGCGCACCACCGATCTTATTATCAGCTAGTGTCTGAGGTTGACCGGGTGTGTTTTCTTCATCGCTTACCTGCTTTCTATCTTACCTAAATGTATTTTTCTGTTTCCTTAAATGTCCCCCCTAAGGCAAATTGGACATGTCGTACCATAAACGTTTTGGATCCTGCATTGGTGGGCGTTTTGATCAGGAATCTGGCAAACCTTTACCGGTCTCCCTTCAACACTTTCCCGATGTTTTTTTTCAGAGTCAGGAATTCTGAGGGACTCTTTGGAAAAATGTAGCAATTGCTAGCCATTGGAGAGCGGGTTTTGCACACCAATCCGTTTCCTGCATTAAGACCTGCACTACCCTAAACATATAGTTTAAATTCTATTTTCGTGACGTTTTATTACATGTTTTTCAAGCTTTAACTCGACGCATTTTTTGCCTCAGCGCTTTTGTTGGCAGCGACTATATTTTCTTGAGTCATTCAGTAAAACAATAGCGGCATTTCCATCGACAAAACGTACAAATTTTACAATAGTTCGGCAACAAAACCCAGTAAACATTTTCTGTTGTATCTCATTAAAATGTAAAGCTCCATGTTCTTTGTGGGGGAAACAATGTTCTCCAATTGGTGTTCAGAAGCCATTATTTGTAACCGTGGCGTATATTACTTACAAAAGAACTGCAAAAAATAATAACAACAAAATGGCGGGTATTGTTTGGGCGGACGCTGAATCTCAAACATCCGTGAGGAAGCGCACGAGTATACCTTGTAGTAATTTATAACATACTTGCTCATAATTTATGAGGTCATGGATAAAACCGGGATTTGAAGTAGCTCTCATCTAGTTAAGCGCTTTATAATCCAAATTATATGACAAACGCACCTAACTGGACGCTTGAGCGCGAGATCAGGCCGACAAGACCTCGTAAAAATATTCACAATCCATGAATCTGTGAAAAAGGCCCTCTTAACTACTACGAAGGGTGTGTAACATGTCTTTCCTGCTCTCATCCCGCGAGGATGTTCTTTCTGTTCTTTCGCCGCCGCCAAATGGAACCTTTGAGCCATGCGCAATCGGAACTACCTTTTGGTGCTTTGTGCGTATCTCGATCACATAATACGCTACACAAAAAAGAACTTATAGTTGGAAACCTTTGTTGCTCGAAGTATTCACGGCCCTAAACGTGGGGATAGCGTGCGAAGAAGTGTGATGCTGTGAGCCGTTTTCACGAAGGATGACGGTGCAAGCTTTAAAGGTTCAAAAACTGTTTCTAGCGACATGTTTTTTATCAGCGATTTATAGTTAGAATGTTATGCAAAGATGTAAAGGCACGTTGATAAAGGCGCATAATTTAATAGCATTGCATTTAGTCGGCTATAAGCAAGATCCTGCTTTCATAGACAGGTATGATGCCAGATCTCTTCCTACCAAAACTTTTTTCAGAACTGCTTAAAACCATTTGGTGGCATATCCTACGTAGAAGCTCCTCCCCCACACGAAAAAAATCCTATATCTTTGTAGCATCCCTGTTCAAAGGCATGCAGTGCTTACGGAGCTTACTTACGGTACTAACAGGTCTTGAAGGGTTTTCATACCTTGACATGTTCGAAGATGAATGAGCCTTGAATGAAATGACCCTCAATTCCCGCCTTGCTCCACACAGTTGACGAACAATAATTGGGCAGCCGGCATCCAACGCCGTTGATTGATACACTTTGCTGATTGCCGGGCTCAGCATTTTTCTAGAGTTTAGGTGAACTAAAGACATGCCTAAAGAAATTTCTACAAAGGTCTCGTTTCATATAGCAAACTGACCTCCAGTTGGATACATGTGTTTACCCATTGTATGTTAATTTGAATCGCATAAAAACAACATATTCCCTGTCAGAGTGTTTAGTACATACTAAAACTTCAAGCAGCATTTCAAAATATTTTTGAAAACTTTTCAGCGCATTGATCCATTGTGCAAGCGGCGTTTATTTCCGCACCCCGCCGAGGAGTGCTGCGCATGCAGTAGAGCTGGTGGTTACGGACACATGGCGAAGGCATGTCTACAGCGGCGCTGTCGGGACTTGCGTGCAGTCAACACTACATATTGTTGGACGACGAATGAGTATCCATGAAGCTGGCGCTTGTTATGAAAGATATCAATGTGAGCAGCGGGGAACCTGTATACGGCGTTGAGGCGACACTCCAACTATGTGTCACGCAGCCGTGCTCCAAGCCGTGCAAAGCAGCCAACTTCCGGGTGACAATGCCAGATGCAGACAGCCGAAGAGGTGTGGATAGTTACCAAAACCACCAAATACTGGACGCTGAAATCCATGTGGTGTGCCAAACCGATTTCTACCTGGCCTCTGCGGGAATCCAAAGTTGAAGTCTGCAACAGAAAGGTGTCAACGCATTAGTGATTGTACTAAACCCGGTGGAACTCATTAAATGGAAGTGAGGGTGTACGGCATCAATCAACACCAGAGACTAGATCTGGCAGTCCTCTACTGATGCGAACATTATTTGTAACGTGACGGACAAAATAGGCGAGTGAATATCAAGATAGGCTTGTTATGAACCACGCAACTAATGTGGCACTGAACCTTCATTTCTTCCAAATGAATGTCTTCTGCGCGCGATTCAGTGTAAATAAGATTAGGTAGTTACGTAACAGTTTTCCCATCGGCGCGTGCAGTGCGGCAGTATACACCAGTACGGAACAGCAAGAAGAGCGGCATGAGTTTTTAATTTTTGAGCGAGTTCGATTTCCATAACAAAACTTTCCCACACTTCGAAGGTAGACTACCTTCAAGACATTGCAGTGGCGTGCGAGTCGGGGGCAAAGGCCCATGTTCCCAAGTTCCACAAATATTTTGCACTGGCGTCATTTGGCGCTTGGAAAAAATTACCTCAGTTCACATTTCACCTTTCCAAATTTTGGGACCTTCCTATGACCCGCACAATCAGTGCTCTATTGCATGACCGTTGTTAGAAACGTGCCTGTCTTGTTATAAAACGTCAAATAATCATAAAATCGACAAGCAACGTCGGCATTTAACGGTATCGACACAAACAGCGTGTCAGGACGGGTGCGCTCCCCGGCGCGAGTTGTACGTGTGTGTGTGCGTGGCAACAGCGCGACGTTTTGGGGCTTTGGACAGGCCCCGTCTGGGTTGGTATGGCCGGTAGATGATCGCCTTCTGTTCGGCCAGCGCCTGTGTGAGCCTCACAGAGGGCAGCTTATTGGATGCGCGGCGCTCGTACACGGCCGGGAGGAGCGGATTGTCACCGCGCAGAGTCGAGCCGACAGTGACGGTCAGTGGTGCGGTGTTTAACAACATCGACAGTCGCGACACAGAAACTGAACTGCATTCGCGCTGAAATAAGCAGCGTACCCAAACGAGCACTGAAACAAACGCACGCAGACCATTGAGAAGACGGGTCATGTCTGGCACAGGCGACTGCCGGCGTGGGGTTTCGGTACGAACAAACAGCACCGCTCGGACGAGACGCCAGCACCGCTGGGCCGCGGCACGTCATTACCTCACAGCCGTACCAACTGATGCCCACCTGGACAGACAAGCCACATCGCCGTCCCATAGCTGGAGATATGGTTAATGCAACCGGGAATGCAGACACAAACTCGTATCAAATGTGCTCGAATAGCTTCCAAGTGCGTGCCCTGTGCTCCCAGCTGGAAGCGAATGTCACCAACGAATTAACACAGGTGCAAAAACAGGAAGCTTCATTTCTAGGTCAGGGTGAAGGAGTGGTGCAGCCCTTCACCTCACTTTTTCTGCACTTCAATGACCGAGGTTATGGCTTATTCTAGTGCAAAAATGTGCTTCGCGTCTATGTGATACTCGGGCGGACGGAGAAACCTATGAGCGATATAGGTCGTTGCAGTATGACGTCAATAGTGTTGAGTGTCTGCAGGCGCGCCGATGAGAGGAGACGCTTTCAACGTCATACGCCATAGCAACAGGCTCGCTTCTGTGTGCAGGGCACCTGGGAAACCAGCCTGCAATGCAATCATGCATTAAATGGCCCTTCCTCCCCCTTCCCCCGCCCGGGGAGCGTGACGATCCTGTGCTCCTCGCATTCCAAGTTTGCAAGGTGCAGATATTCAGGGCTAAGCGGGTATTCATATGCCGGCATCGCCTTGACCCCTTAATGGCTTCACAGACGGCTGCCTCGTCCTCGTCTGGTGAGACAGTACGTGCATCTAATGCACATCTGCAGCACACAAGACGATGACGGCAGTCCGATCAATTGTTGCATCCATCATGCTGGCGCCTCATCGCGAGGAACATGCAAGTCGGTAGTTTTCCCTGGTAGTGCTCCACAATGGGCTTAAAAGCTACAGACATCTATCCCATAATTTGCTGGCGTTTTTCTCATTTGCCCCCGCACACAGCGTGCTTAGGTAGGCTTTGGACAGCCGGATCGTTCAAGGAGGCCAACCGATTCTAGCGTTCAGGCCTCATCGTCTTCTATGAGCCTGCCCGCTGCGGCCGGATCCGACACTGGGCGCGGATGAACTCCTCAAACCGGTTTTGTGTAATCTCCCGGTCCTCGTGTGCGGCAGCGGCCCCTGCGCGCGACCCGCTCGTCCTGACTCGCCCGGCGCAGCATCTCTGGGTTAGGGAGAGCCGCGCTGGAGACCGGCACGCCACCGAACGCGAGCCCGGCGCACATCCGACCTCCGTGGCGGTTTGCGGGGCGACTGTCGCGCTTAGCGCGTTAATCTCCAGGCCCGGGCGACGATGGAACGATGCTCGACCTGCCACCTGGCGGTGCTGCTCGGAACCGGGGCTGTTTGCCGGGGAAGGCCGGCCGGAAAGCCCAACACCTGGGGCGAGAGGCGGCTGGCGTGCGCGGCCGTCGTGCATGGGAGGCCCAGGCCGGACGCCGGGCCGCCCCACTCGACACGAGAGGCAGGCAATCGACGCCGAGACGGAGCGTTGGACGCGCTGGACGGTGCAAGGTGACAACGGAGGCCGAGAGAGATAGCGGCGGACGGGAGGACACAGTGGACGGCCGAAAGGGGACGCTTGGGGCTCTGGCACTGAACATGGTCGAGGGTCGAGGGTGATCAGGTCAGTGGTCGGACTGCCAAAACTCGCGGGGCAAAAAAGTGCTGGCGTGTAATCGATAGACAGCGTTATTATTGCGTGTCATTCCCGGGCACCACCAGAGACCCGGCCATCACCAGACTGTTGGGCGCACTGTGGCCGTATTATGCGCGCCTCACATGTGCACGCTCCGCGTGCAGCTCGGACCCAGGATCCGTTCGTGCTGTATGCCATTACGGAGAAATTGTCCTTGAGCGTGATACTTCTGACGGACATCACGGGAATGCCTGGCTGCTTCTGCCGCTCGAACAGTGCCTGTTTAGAATAGCTTACTGGAAGTGCCGACAGGTTCGTCAATAGAGTGACTAAATTACGTAGAATGTGTCTTCGCTGGGAGTGAAAACTGTGCGATTGTCATCAGGCCTAGGAAAAAGTGTCTTCCGCAAAATGGAAGTGGTCATGCAACTGATGCCATCAAAGCGGTTCGCGAAGGTTTTTTAGATAAGTGTTAGCGTTGTCATGCCCATTTTGCTATGCATAAAAATTACGGTATAACCTGGTAATTCACCAAAACCTTTTGAGTCAACAAATTTTTACATGAAGGTCCAGACTGTTGTGCACAGCAGCTGCAGGCATCGTGCTTAGCGTTCAAGGTACACACACAAATGAAATAACTGCATGGCATTGTCAACGTGGGGTAGGCGCTTAATAAATGCCGGGACTGTCAACTTGGGGTACACGCTTAATAGCCGACGGGGATTGTCAACGTGGGGAAGGCGCTCAATAACTGCCGCGGATTGTCAACGTGGGGTAGGCGCTCAATAACTGCCGGGATTGTCAATGTGGGGAAGGCGCTCAATAACTGCCGGGACTGTCAACGTGGGGTACGCGCTTGATAGCCGACGGAGATTGTCAACGTGGGGTATGCGCTCAATAACTGCTGCGGATTGTCAATGTGGGGTAGGCGCTCAGTAACTGCTGGGATTGTCAACGTGGGGTAGGCGTTCAGTGTTCAGTCACACGCTGTGTGCAGCGTGCAGGCATCGGACGAAGCGTTCGAGTAGCCACAACTGCTACGTCACACACGCACAAAGTTAATAAATAAAAACATTTCAAAATATTTTGAAAGTGTAAGAACAAACAAGACCGTTGGGTAGATCCTCCACTCACTCATGACTTACAAAAAAGTGGGGCACGTGTTATATGCGCTGCGTGCAGAACGAGGTCACATGCCATTAACGACATTATAACATAAACATTTATAAAGACGTGCGCGCATACAATCACAAAAACACGCTCACACCGGCCGAGGCAGCCGCGATGGCGTGTCGGTGTCCCACGTCAACTGCGTTCACCATTCAAACCGGATGAGGCCACGGTGCAGTGCACAGACATGTCAGCCTCGCCGCCATGCGCGCTAGCTCTTTGGCTAGCATCGGCACGAGAGCGTGCAGTTCCCCTGCACGCTCCAGCGACCACGGAAGTCGACAATGCATTGCGGCCGTAGCGAAACGGCAACGACGCTCAACACGTCCAGCTACGTAACAGCCTGTGGCATAGCGTCAAAATGGGCTCTGCAAAAGGTGACACGGAGGCCAAAACGTCCCCGACGGCCAGATCCGCGGTGCGGTTCGCTGGTGCGAGTGCCACTATAGGTGAGAGGTCTTTAGTCCAAGACTGACTTTGGTAAGTTGTTCCTGGACTGGCTTCTCCTCAGGTGATGACAGCAACCGGGCAGTGGTCGCCCTGGCGCGGAATTGACTCTGCGCTGACCATCGCCCGCGGCGGTGGGTCCGCGAGCATTGTCTGCCTTTAACTGGGCCGCGGTGCGGTGACGCACCAAGGACACGGCCTCGCTCTCGGCCACCGAAGCAGCACCCTGATCAGTGGGGCGGAGAAATCGTCAGAGGCACGCTGTATACAAGCGTGCTGCGGGCGGACATCCTCACAGTAAGCCTGTGGTCAGGGCTGTCCCACTAGCGTGTCGAAAATATGAACCTCTCGTGTATAGTGTGTGGTCATGTAGCAAAGCGAAACAGGCTACCGGGGGGGGGGGGGGGGGGGGGGGCGTAACAATGCGTGGCAATAGGCGTCCTTAACAAAGCTCGGAATCAGACCGAAGTCAAATAAAAAGAAAACAAGCTTTCCCTGAATGGGGATCCCAAGTATGAAGAGTTCAAAAGTGAGAGCCTGAGATTGTACGAAAAGGATGTAATTTTCTACCCAAAATTTAGAATTTTGACCTCTGGCCGGACAGCGTCTGGCAGCCCGTGGCAGGACGGCTGTGGGTGACAGGAAGAAAACTGGTGATCGC